ATCCATTCTTTCTACCAATGATGGATTGTTGATTGATAAAGGAAGTATGGACAATCATAACAGAAAAAAATCCATATATATACAAGAAAACTAAAACAAACATCATGAAATGAAAAACCTTGGGGGATGAATTTTCCCGAACAGGTGTTATATTATGTAGTGCAGATAAGGGACTATGCAAGTTGGTGGAAATTGGCAGCGATTAGATAGTTCCATAGAAGAAAAGGAAAATCAAGATCTAGGTGATCCACAAAACACTATATCAAAGAACAAAGTTAGCTGACACCCTGAGTTACGCAAATTCACCACACAGTTCTCATCATTATTTATATAGACATGCGTATAATTTTCGTGAGAGTTGAAGTCTTGAAATCCATCAACCCTAAAAGACTTTGACCAAAAGAAAAAAGTTAGGTTAATAGACAGTCTAGTCATCAAATGGAGAACACGATAAGAAAATAACAAGAAAACAGATGTAAGGTCTAGGTTTTGTGCACGAAAGCAGAAAAAGTCCAATAACTATGGTTTATTAAGATATAAAGCTAACAGCTATGTTTAATTTCCAAGATTAACACTTCAGTGGCAAGCTACTTCCAGAATAAGTGGACAAAGATACTTCCCCAGGGTTCGGATTCTCAGTCCTTTCTTTTCGGATTGTTCAATAAGATCCTTTAGAGCACAAAAAAACAACAAAAAAAGGAATCAAAAGGAAAACCAACCTGCCTAACAATGAATGGCTCCTCAACAACACTAAAAGGCTCGGTTAGTATAGTGAAAAATCCATTCCGGTTTCCATAAACATCATCGGTAAAGGGCCGATCACCAGCCTGCCATAAACATAAATTGTCACCGACATGATCCAAAATCAAGATAAAATCAACCACCCCTGTTAGTTCTATCACCCTTTCCATACCATGATAAGTTGCGATGATTTATATCCAAAATGTTTCTCAATTTCTTCAGCTGTTCCAGCTGGTTTCTTCACCTCTACAAAGACATCATATGGAGACCCTAATCAATTCTAGATAAACCAAACACTTTCTTCATAAATAAATAGTAACTCAAATTAATGTGTCAAACCTACAATCATTACCAGCAATTGCAATTCATCCCAAGGTTTTTACTTGTTTAATGTCTTAACACTGGATTGAAACTATTACAGTAAAAATATATTTATTTCTTCATAAATGCTATAGTACCTTAAAATTGTGGTGGTGTGCGTGTGGTTTTGTGGTGGGGGGGGGGGGGGGACTTATTGTGCCTTATTACTTTAATCCCAATAGTCCCTTCTAGTTTTTTCGCCTTTTAACCATCATAATTATACTCTAAAAGACCTTAATTCAACAAAACGAGGGGGAAAGGCAAAACTTCAACACATAGAACAAAAGCACGATGAGTAAATAATAAACAGGAGTCCATTTCAAAGAGTCAACGCAGAAAATTACCGGCAGAGTTGCTAAACACGGCGATATCAGTGCCAAAAGCATCCTCGCACTTATCAATAGAAGGACGGAGAGGAGGCCAAAGGGTCAAGGAATAAGGAAAAGTAATCGTATTATCCTTGTCGAAAACCACGCCTTTAAACCCTCTTCTGTGGAGCTCAGACCAATCAATGTACCTTATATCACGCATCGCAACATGCGGCAACGACAAGTGACGGTCATTAAAGAACACTAGGACCGAAAACACGATGCCTTCAACATTAATTCTTTGTCCCACAGCTTCCCTCAAATCTGTCCACCACGTGTTCGAGAAAATGACTCTGAGAAAACCCCAGAATCTGGTCTTCTCAGTACGTTTCTCCTCTTCTTTTTCTTCGTCTTGAGGATCTGAGTCTTGATTATTTACGCTCTACTGGCTGAAGGAAGAGTAAAATTGTTGGAGAAAATTGGATTTCTGATCTGGGTACGTGTAGCTGTTGGTACTATTCTGATTCTCTAGCTGGGGTTGGCTGAAATCATTGGTTGTAGTAGGGAGAATCAATGAACAGAGGGCTTTGGGTTGAATTGATTCCTGGGGAATGAAACATTAATAACGGGTTTTTCTCCGGAATTGAGATGAATTAAGCGTATGGGAAAGGGGTAGCAGCTGTTGGGGAATGCGGCAAGTGCAACAGGCTGCATCTCCACTGTATTTGTCTTCTGTTTACTCAATAAAGAAATCCATTTTCCTTTTCCTTTTTTGTTTTTAACATTTCAAGTGAATTTATAAGCTTTTGCAACAGTTGATTTGGTTTGCACTTCCATTTAGTGCGTTTGAGGGATGTGGTTTGAATCGACCCTGCCAGCCACCTTCAATAATCTTACTATTTTAAAATAATAAAAAATTAAAATCTTTACACTAAATATAATGAACCTTATATATCAACATTTAGTATTATATATATATATATATATATATATATATTGTTTAGATTTTAAAAAAATTACCAATATCATATGAAATTAAAAACATCATTAATATTAAAAATTAAAAACTATTGAAAATTGTACATATAATGTAACAGAATTCAAATGTTAAAATTACCTTTTCGACTGATCAGACAATTTCAATAATAAAAATTATTATTTTTTTAAATTAAATTCAAATAATTATATTTATTAAACATATATATTATTAATAACTAAAAAAATTGAACAGTAATTACTCAATACTTTTAAAAGAAATACTAACGGTAATGACTTTTAATACAAATGGTAATGATTTTCTCATATAAATAATTTAGTTTAGGAAAACTCTACGACGCTTGACTACCAGTGATGAGCACCACTAACGACGAGTATTATTAATTTAATTTATAAAAATTTAAATTTTAAAGTATTCAACCTATAATTATAAATTAGTTAAAAAAATTAAAGATAAATTATTTAAAATAATGGGTAAAATATACCAGTGACCACCTAAATATTGTCCCTTTTCATTTTGACGAATATTTTTTAAATTTTGTCAATCAGGTCACTCAACTATTTAAATGTATTCAATTAAATCACTTGCCATTAATATTTAACGGAGAAGCTAATGTGGCAGTTAAAATATTTGGTATAATTACACATTTGGTCAATGTTACTTACATATCCTATCAATTTGGTCCTAATTTTAATAAAATCAAAATAAACTTAACCCTCAAATCTTTAATTTTAAAAGATTTTAAAAGTTACTATATATTCTATATTTATAAAAAAAACAATTTTTTTTACTGGAAATTCTATTTATGATTCTCAGAAGCATCCTACCAATGTACCATAACCTCTTTTTTTATTATATGACGTCATTTGATTTGAGGTTAAGTTTATTTTAATTTATTAAAATTAGAACCAAATTGATAGAATATATAAGTAACAATGACCAAATGTATAATTATACCAAATATTTTAACTGTCACATCAGCTTCTCCGGTTAAATATTAACAACAAGTGGCTTAATTGAATGTATTTAAATAGTTGAGTGACTTGATTGATAAAATTTCAAAAATATTAGTCAAAATGAAAAGGAACAATGGTTAGGTGGTCACTGGTATAGTTTACACTTTATTTTAAATAATGTGTCTTTAAATTTTTAACTAATTTATAATTATACGTTGAGTCCTTTAAAATTTAAATTCTTATAAATTAAATTAATGGTGCTCTCTTTAGTGGTGCTCATCTCTGCTTGTCGATGGTAGAAGAATCATCCTTTAGTTTAACATATTTAAGAAAATACTAACTATCGTTTAAACATATTTAAAAAATATCAATTATTATTTAAAATAGGCTTAATAAAAAAATAAATGCTCGAATTTTTCACTAAAAATAGGAGTCTAATGTTTCAAACGTTATATTTTTAGGTGCACGGATGTGAACCACCATTAAATATATCAGTTAAGTGACAAGTGTCACGTTCTGATAATTTTAAGAATTTGTTTTAAAAAATAAAAGAAAAAATAGTAGCTTTAGCTCGAGCCCCCACCCCGTGCTCCCTCACTTTCCCCTTCACCCTTCCCCTTTCCTATAGTCGTCGGTCGGTCGGCGGTGACCATCACCACCACATGCGTCACCATTGGCTTCGACCCTCGATCAAACTCCATTGGCATTTCGTCGTAATATGTCACCATTTGTCGTGGAGAAGCGTTCAAAGGTTCGTCGGATACCGTCACCATTTTTCGTCAATTTCGGCCAATTTCGACGTCCACAAGTCACACCGTCACCACCATTCGAACCGCTATGCAATTCCGATCAAAACCCAACTATTTGGCGGTGACAATGATGGCCGAAGATGGTCGACGACCGTTTGAGTTAGGAAATTAAATTTGGAAATTAGAGATTTGGATTTTGGGGTTTTAGATTTTTGGATTTTTTTGATCATGGTAAGGATGATGATTGATCAATAGGTGAGTGGCGATAGGTGGGTGACCATTCGACGATCACGATGATGGTTGGAGATGGCCGATGACGATTGGTAATGAGGGTTAAAATGAGATTTTAATTTTTTAATATTTTTTTATAATTTCAGTAAAATTTGGGTTTTTCTATAATTTTTTTAATTTAAAATAATATTTTTATTATTAAAAAATTAAAAAATAAACGATGAACACCTAAAAGTATAATTAAAAAAATATTAGATACCTATTTTTAGAGGCATAATTCAATCACTTATTTTTATATCAAACCTTTAAAATAACTAGAACTTTTAATGATTCCACAAATATAAATAATTATGTAAAATTAACCAAACGTGAACCCTAATGCTTACAAGGAAACTCTAATGTGAACCCTTCACTACGGCAAAAAATATTACGTAAATTTAAACTAAAAAGTAAGCGATGAATATGTAAAAAGTAACCTTATTTAATTCCTTTTACAAACACAGTAGAGACTAAATTGATACAAGAAGGAACTTTCACCTTGATACCCCTACTGGACACCCTTAACAAATGCTCTGAAACAAGTCTCTTAAAATTTGATGAAACAATAGCAACAATAAAAGCCGATGAGCGTTATTTTTATTGTATATAATAAGATTAAACGTATCATATAACTTCCCCATTTCCAAGCTAGCCTGATCTCCTTTTAACAGATTTCACTAAACGAGTCCCTTCCTCTATGCAAAGGGTCCATTCTTAATCTCCGGCTAATACATCCTTGTCATGCCGTACTGAACAGTTCCGAGCTTCCGACAGCCGGTGGCTGTTGCCGCACCAGTTGCAGCAACACCTATTCCACTGTACTGAGCTTTTGCCTGCAACAAGTTTGCCTCATTGGTAATTCTATTGTCAGCCGGCTCCACCTTCTTCACTCTGGTCATGAAAAATGGGTTCGAATCGATGTCGATAGCTACATCCGGTGAAAATTTGGCTGACATGCCACATTGAGAACCTTGTTTAGCTTGGGATGGCAACTCCCTTCCAGGTCTTTCTTGATTAACTGTGCCAGATTTGTGATAAGAATATGCAGGGTGGACAGACTCTGGTGGGAAGACCAGTGCTTCTTATGAACGTTCTTGGATCATAGGAATCTTTCATGATTGTTCCATTCTCATACAGTGCAACAGGACCTACTATCTTTCCTGGTTTAGCTGAATAGTGAAATATGTCGGTCCGAGCACCGATATAGAATACAAGAAAATTAAAAGAGCAAAAGAAAAATGAACGGTGTGCTAGGATAATTTAAAACATACCCGGTGGGATTCTTTGTTGCACTTGCAAGGTTCTTGATAAATGTAGTGGAATGGCTTCGGCTTCCCTGGAACTTTTGCTGTATGCCACTTCTGCATTTTGCCTTTCTTTTAAGCACTTGAGGCTTGGTTGCTCTTTGGGGGCAATGGTATTGGAATGTACAATTGTGGACCTGCGAATTCATAGGATTCCAGTTTTAATCATCGTATTAATGTGCCAAAAAATTAAAACAATGTGCAAACAACCAGCTTCAATAGAAGGTAATGTTAAAAAAATTCTACCAACAGCCTTGTTCCTTCTTTTGGCCCAAAGCAAAAAGGAAAAAAAAAAGTCGATCAGCTGGGTGTGAGCTACCATAGAACACTCCAGAGAGCCAAAAAAGGAAAGGGTAATCCTATCCATAGGAGAGTTGTGCAGAGAAATTGCCTTAAGATTTTACATAAAGATGGCATATGAGGATTACTGAGGCATCAACCGGGGGATAAAAGTATTGCAATAATATCATGATCAAACTAGTGAGGCAAAGAGGGCATATGAGGATTAGTAAGGCATCAACCAGAATATTAAAGTATTGCATATATTATCGTGATCAAACTAGAGAGACATCACTGGGAGATTTTTTTCATTATAAATGATCAAACTAATGAGGCATCGAGCGAAGATAAAATATTGCATATAATATCATGATCACACCATATGCTCACCGTTATCCCATCACAATCTGGTAGCCAAAAACATATGTATGAGAGAACATTGCCCCTACCTGAAGCTCTATAGAATAACTTGGCCTTTCATTTGTTCATGCACAATTATCAAGTTCCAAAACCTCATTTCAACCTGATATTTAACTACTAAGTTGCACATGAATTTCTCCCAAACTCATATATCTGCTCAAAAATCCGAATCTAGAGACACTAGGAATGAAAAGAGAAGAGAATGTTAAAGAGATGCAAGTCAGTTCAGCATTTGGTATTTTCCAAAAGCTTTATTTTCTTTCCTCTCATTTTTCAACTCTACCAGGCAATGAATGGAAAGAAAATTACATTTTCTTTCAGTTTCTCCATCTTTCCTACAAAGCACACCAATGGGAAGAAACTATTATATTTTCCATCTTACTACTTTTCTACCCCTTTAATTCTTTTTTTTTATAGGAATTGAAGGCCTCATTAAAAACCCCCTTCTTAATTGTATGAGCTTGTAAAGAAGCTCATCAATCAGCGGAAGAGGGAAAAGAGTGCCTTAAAAATTTTATTAACCATAATAAATACATAAAATACAGCCAAGGGACTTTCCCAAAATAACCAAGAACAAACAACTGCCCAAACAGGCCAAACAGCCCTGTACAATTCTACAACGACCTCTACTGAGTCTGGCCTGTAGCCGATCGGCCAGAAAACCAACACAAAACATTCCCACAAAATGCTTGAAGCAATCAACCAATCCCCTCCTTAGCTAACTGGTCAGTTTCCACATTGCAACTCCTAGGAATCAATCTCAAAACAATATCCTTAGCCGAAATAGAAGCCCCAATTTCCTCCACCATCGAACTGAAAAAAGCTGGTGCAGAGTTTTGATTAGAAATCCAATCCACTGTTGTTTTACAGTCACTTTCTATAATTAATCTTCCCTTGTTAGCCCAGTTCGAAGAGAAGAAAAACACAATCCCTTCCTTAATAGCTTTCAACTCTGCTAAAATGGGAGTTCCAGGCCCTACCGCTAAAGAGAAGGTGGCCACCTATACCACCTTGCAACCTATCCCCTCTTACCGCCCCATCAATGTTTAGCTTGAACATATCCATAGGCGGTGGAGTCCAACAAATAGCCCTCTCATGGACATGAGAGTACTGAGACTTATCTGCAAGCGTCGGATCCCCAACTAAATTATCAGAGTTGATACGAACCAAAGGATATTTAGCTAGAAACCATTTAGCCAATCTAAATCTGGCGAAGAATAACAAAGATGTAGTGTCGACCTTCCACTTTTCAAAAACAACCAGATTCCTAACCTTCCAAACTGACCATAAAACAACCCCTGGGATGAACTTCCAAATGCTAGAATCCTTCCTTAGAAACGACCAAGAGCACAAAAGAGAAATGGGGTCATGAGGAAGAGCAGTAGAAATTTCCCATAGCCTAAGGAATTTGGTCCATAGCTCCTCTGCAACCACACAAGAGAAGAAAAGGTGTTCAACAGATTCTTCATGCAATTGACACAGTGGACAAAGACCGTCTTCCAAAGGAATATCTCTTTTCTTCAACTCCTCTCTAACTGCCATTTTACCATGACAAAGCTGCCAAAGGAAAGTTTCCACCCTAGGAGGAGCCAAACCAGCCCAAACCCACTTATTCCACTCAAACGAACCTTCTGAACTGCTAAAAAAAGACCTCCTACATGACTTGACCGAAAACAGGCCATCACCTTTCCCCGACCACCCAAGAAAATCATCCACTGAATCTGACAAAGATACATTTTCAATCAAGGACATTAAAGCAATCCACTGATCCAGTTCCCAGTCGAGTAAATATCTTCTTAACTAGATGTTCCACACACAAACATTCTGCACGAAACCACCAAATCAGCTACTGTCCCCAACTTAATAACCGATAAAGCAAAAATTCTTGGAAATTGTGATTTTAAGGTTGAGTCGTTGATCCACACATCATGCCAAAAAACAATGGATCTGCCATTGCCTATGTGAATCTTTGAATTAGCTCTCAAACATTCCCCAACCTCATCGTTTATGACATAATTGTTTAGAATTGCTCTCCAAATCCAAGAATCGTGCGGAGAAGCAGCCTTCATTATTGAAAGAGACAAATTACTAACGTTGTTCTTGCAGCAAATCATCTTTTTCCACCGACTATTTTTATCATTTGCAAATTTCCATACCCATTTCCCAAGCAAAACTCTATTAATCAACCTCAAGTCTAAAATTCCCAACCCTCCTCCTTCAAACGGTTGACAGACAGTTTTCCAGTTCACCCAGTGTACCTTTTTCTTAGCTGGAACATCACCCCAAATAAAATTCGCCATTAAAGAGTTCAATTTCTGCATGACCTTCACTGGAATTTTAAAAATTGATAGGTAAAATATCGACAAGCTAGACAACAAAGACTTAACCAGCACTAATCACCCAACCATCGACAGAGAATTCGATTTCCAGCCTGCTAATCTTTTGTAAAAATTCTGAACAACCGGTTCCCACATACCCTCTGAATTCTTCTTTGAACCAAGCGGCAAACCAAGATAAGTCATAGGAAAAGATCCCACTCCACAGCCCGCCATCCTAGCCCATTCTAATACTCTTACCTCATCCGCATTAATGCCATACAAATTACTCTTAGACAGATTTAAGTGTAGCCCTGACATCACACTAAAAATCCTCAAAACTCTCTTAATATTAAGGATATGAGTAGGAGAGTCTTTGCAGAATAATATTAGATCATCTGCAAACTGAAGGTGAGTCAGATGGAAAGAATTATCTCACCTGCCAATATTGAACCCTTCAAAAAGACCCAGATCAGCAACCTTGTTCAGCATTAGATTTAAAAGTTCCCCAACTATATTAAACAATAAAGGGGACAAACTGCAGCCCTGTCTCAAACCTTTAGTAATCTGAAATTCCTCAGTTGGAGACCTATTCACTAATACCGAGATTGAGGCTGAAGAAACACAACACTCCATCCATGAAATCCATTTTTCACCAAAACCCATACCCCTCAGAAGTTTGAAAAGAATCGGCCATTCAACTGAATCATAGGCCCTGCGGAAATCAACTTTGAAAACAACTCCATATCTCCCTTGTTTCCTCCAATAATCAATGCCTTCGTTAGCCAAAAGAGCACAGTCAAGCAATTGCCTACCCGGAATAAAGGCAAACTGCGAGGGACTAATTATATCTTTAATAATAGCAGCAAGCCGTTTGGACAGCACCTTAGAAATAATTTTGTATAAGCTACCGACAAGGCTTATAGGTCTGAAATCTTCAACTTCCTCAGGATTGAGTTTCTTTGGGATTAACGTAATAAAGGAATGATTAACCCCATGTTCCCATTCCCTCCCACTATAGAAATCACGGACAAATTTCATAATTTTATCCTTCAAGATATTCCAGAATTTTTTAAAGAAACCCATAGTATAACCATCCGGACCAGGTGCCTTGGCGCTATCCGATAAAAAGATCACATCCCGCACTTCCTGCTCTGAGAAATCAGCCTCAAGACCCTCTTTTTGCTCGAAAGACAATTTAGCAAAATTCAGGTTGATATCAACCACCTCTAAAGTAGACTTAGCATTGTAGTTTACTTTGAAAAAATCCTTAATAGCAGCTCTAATTTTATTTGGATCATCAATTAACACACCATCCACTTTCAAGGCCGAAATTGCGTTAACTCTATTTCTATTAGTAGCACATAGATGAAAGAACCTCGTATTCCTGTCCCCATCCTTAATCCACTTCATTCTAGACTTCTGCAGCCAAGTACTCTCCTCCTTCCTATGCAATATCCACAATTCAGACCTCATCAGCAGAAGCTGATCCCTATCACGTGGAGTAAACCCCCCACCTTAAGACTTCAACTCCAATGCATTAATCCTGGCTTCCATGGCTGAAATTTGATCAGAAATCCCCAAATGATTTTTGTTGGACCACTGTTTAATCACTTTTTTAGTACCTTGCAGAATGCTAAACAAACCCCTTCGACCATTAGACAAGTTAACAGAATTCTGGACCACCCTATCAAACCCTTCCTCCTCTAAAAGGTAATTAAAAAACAGAAAGGGTTTAGGGCCCCAATTCTCAACGTCTTCTTCTAGTAGCACTGGATTATGATCCGATAGACTTTGGTTGCATTTTTTGGACAACTTTCGGAAAACACTGCAGGAAACTACCACTTAATAAAAACTGATCTAATCTTATCCAAGTTGCACCTTCCCTATTATTGCACCAAGTAAAATTCCCACCCACTAATGGAAGGTCCAAGAGATTCAGACTATGGACAAAGTTCGAAAAAAGATCAATTGAATGCCAATTCTGAGCCATTCCAATCTTCTCCACCGGATCAAGGTAGGCATTGAAATCCCCCCTAAGAAAACAGGCAGGCTTAGACCTTGCACAAAATCCATCAAATCTCTGGAAAAATCTCCTTATCAGCTTCAACAGATGGACCATAAACATTAATAATAACACAGTCACAATTAACCACCTTGAACTTCCCTGATACAACTATGAATCTGCTGGTCTTAAATTCACTTGTAGCTTCAAAAAAATCTTCATTCCACAAACAAATTAAACCACCAGCAGACCCATCAGCTAATTGGACACTTTTACCTTTCAGAAGATTTCCCCCCAACTTCCTCCATAAGTCGATTTCACAGAAGCTCAGCTTAGTTTCCTGGAGCATCAAAAAGACTGGTTTGACATTGCTAACAAGTCTAGCCACTGCTCGAATTTTTTCCTTCTTCCCAAGACCCCTATCATTCCAAGAAACCACATTAAAATGGGACATACAAAAATAAAAATTAAAACCCCTTTTCAGCTCATTAACTATAATCTCAAACTCCTAGAAGACCTTTTCAACTCCAAATTCAAAATCTCCTCTTCCAGTAAATGTTGCCCCCTACGAAAAAAATCCCCAACATGTCACAAACTTCCCTAGTAGCAGCCTCCTCCTCCCTCGCTTTACGAAAGACGACTGAGGACTCAGACGAGGCACTATCCTGATCCCGAACATCTGGGAGAATACCTCTATCCCCTCTAAAAAAAACTCTCTCATGGAAACAGATTGAAACTTCACTCAACGAACAAACACTACCGGAACGACTAGGAGCAACCTTAAACTTCCTATGATTCGCTTGACTTCTTGCACAACAGGCTTTACCCCTAAAGAGCCTATCGACAGACAAAGAAACATATGCATTCTCCCTCATGTAGATGCTCGTTTTGTCCGGGCTTATAGCAGATTAAACAATTCGAATCGAGCCCATCATTATATCTAACCCAACCCGTGCTCAGTTGGATTATGCCAATAAGACAGGCAGTTTTGAGTAGGAAAAGAGGGGGAACGGTTTATAGAGAGTGGGGGTCGGTTTTGAA